ATGCAGAAATGAAAGACAACTATAACCAGATAAATTGGGTCAACCGGTCTTTTCATTCTTACAATTCTTCTGTGAACCACTTAGCACTCATACGTGAAATGATGATTTTTCTAACACTTTTAATAAGTAACCTACCCCACAACATTTTTGCATCTTCAGATTATATAGCTTTTCATTCATCTTCAAAAATATGATTCCATTGTGAAACCCATCTATACAATTTTATGTACATCAACATTTTTGATTAGTTATTTTCGTTGCGAGGGAGGGAAAAATCTATAGTAGCAGACACTGTGTTGAATTCTGTGTCACGCTACAATGCAATATACAATGCGTAAATGAGTAATAATTAAACTATTCAAATACAAAATTGATAGTGGAGTGGCACAAAATTGATAGTGGAGTGGCACAAAATTGAAATACATCGAATTAGATAGGTACACAAGTAAAATAATTTATGGACTAGTAAAAACATATACCTAAACAGAAAAAATCGCGTCAAGTAGGTTGATCTTGCACTTCCCATGCAACGCCCTTATCTGTAAAGGAATATGTTCAGCGCAAGCTAGACCTCTGAGAAAAAAGTCAGTGAAACAGATCCATACAATTAGTCCATAGGCACCCTTTCCCTGCTCTACATCTGGAAACGTCGCCTCTCTCTTACAACTAACTCGGGCAGACGTGGCATTGGGGTAGCGCGGTCAGAGCTATGACGTTGAAGAATATTTTTCAAGGCTAATCTACGGAGAAATCTATGATGTGTGAAATATGTCTACTAGGTGCGTAGAAATAAAGCGTATAAATGTACGAGCACCAAAAAATTGAGATAAGCCCTCTTCCCCCGAAGTTTTTTCTAACATCTTTTTCAAATATGATCAGGATCTTCTGAAACGCCAAAATACAAAGTTTGGGTGCTTTTTGCTTTAGTTGTTTCAGGCCTCATTAATCGAAATTCGAGCGGTACTTCTCAAGTTATAGGCGATTACGAGATTAGCGGACAGACCGATAGACAGACTGACTGACAGACAGACAGACCGACGGAAATGAATGATATTGTTTTCGCGATATACATGTGATATACAAAATTTTCCCGCCAGTAGGCGTGGGAAGAAAAAAGTTGTTGTTGTCGCAATTTGCTGTATAGCATTGATTTACGTATTCTACTTGAAGATAGCCTTCCTATTCCTATATTTCCAAGTCCAAAAATTATCCGAGTTAAAATGAGATACTGTAATATCATCTGCGAAAGCTGGTCACCGCTGTTTTTCTATTTACTTTATATACTCTGAAAGGGCTAGTGTCACATAGACAACTAATATTTTCAAAGTATAGTCAGTGAATAGAGATATAGCCGGAACAAACTAGTAATGCAGCTTTCTTTAGTCCGACCACAAACGGCCAACCATGAACAGCTGCTTCGAGCTATTTGTCAACTCTCTAGCATGGTGCAGGCTTGGTCTCGGTGGACAATGAATAAAAGAGGAGCAACTCTAGTCTATACAGGGTATAAGGTCTATCGAAATAAGACAGAACAAAGTCCCATCTATATGTGACAAATTTTCATAGATGACGCTACGGTATCTCATTTCCTCTAGGATAATTTTTTGTACGCGGCTATCTTGAGGTAGAATACGTTAATCAGGACTACTATCCGGTGTGTTGAGACAACAGCCGTTTTTTCCATTTAGGTATATGCTGACTGGACCATAAACTATTTTACTTGTGTACCAATCTAATTCGGAGTATTTCAATTTTGCGTCACTCTGTTATATTTGAAAAATTTAATTATTACTTATTTACGCATTGTCTATTGGATTGCAGCTTGAATTCAATACATTTTTGCCACCCTCGAGTTTAAGGAGTTCAATTAAAATGGTACAAGTCTTAAAGCTTCTCTAGTACCGCTTAGTATATGCTACAGGTATGTGGGTCAAACTTTTTGGACAAATTATAAATCATTGTGCATAAGATACTATGTAATTAACTTTAAGACTTATTAAGCCGTTGTATCTCTTCAATATGCAAAATTTGCACAACAACCAAGGTTATTTCCATAATAAATACTTGCGGGTTAAATTCTATTACATCACTGGGAAGATAATAAATTGGGATATTATTGGAAAGCCAATTAAACGAGTAAGTATTAATGATGCGCTATTTTATCCCCTCTTTTCATTTAAAATTGAAGGGGTAATTAATATCTTTCCTTCCCATGAAGTTGAATAAAGAATTTGTCCAAAGAATCTTCCTTGGGAGTACTGTTTACGGGATCGGTTTTCAGACTTTTCATACCGGGTGTGTCAAAGCCAACTGAGCAGCTTCAAGGATATATAGAAACGGCAACTCAATGTATAGAATAAAATAGCGTCAATTAAGTTGACTCTACTTCCCACGCTACGTGTCATCAGTTCGTAAGGGATTATTTTTGGCGCAAGTTAGCCTTTCTGCGAAAAAAGTTAGCCACGAACATGTATCACAAAAATTTAAATGACCTTCCTCCTCCCCCTGAGAGGAATTGCTGCAGGTCCCGATCCCAATCCAAATCCCGCGTGAATGACAATATTGACCTGCACCATCCACTCAGTCCACAGAAGCGTTTGCCGACTGTAACGTACGACCACCAACGCCTGTCCATCGGGGGATGTCGTCGCACGTATCGACACCCGGCTGTAGGAAATATTCCTATTTATTTGAAGTTATAAGGGTAAATGTGCGGGGACATTTATGATGAGTGACATATGCCTAATATGCGCGTAGAATTGTCTAATATCCTTGAATTTCTTTGGGTAGAAGGCAAAGTATTGCAAAAGTACACTCTTATAACTACCTACATAGTAGGCAACACACGTCACAGTTACGACACAACGAATTACCTACCAATAACTTCAATGTCACACTTCATACGCCACTGAAGAATGTCAGTCGGCCGGCACGTGTTGGATAATGTGGAGATTATCAGTGGAAAAAAATTTGAAATCTCGAAGAAATTTTCAATAGTTGATAGTTTTCTAATTTTCAAATTTCTTCCAAAATCAATCAACGTTTAAGTAAAAAACCTTTTCAAAAATAAAAAAAACAGCTATGATTTGCCATTTAATAATAAAATAATGCCGTCCTAATCGAACCTCATCAGTCCAGTTTTTTATTCGTAGACTGTGTTCCCTTCCCTTCATGTGTTTAAAAACAATTTCAGCTACAATCGATTGATTTTGGAAGAAATTTGAAAATTTGAAAACTATCAACTTATGAAAATTTTGTTATATACCTTTCTCCGCATGATCATATATACAGGGTGACTTCGAAGTTGAGTCATTTATTTTAACAGTGAGTAGATCTGATCAAAAGAAATGTTTTTTTCCTTTACCATTTTTCTGGTAAAATTAAAGTAACAAAGTTATAGCCCTTTGGAAGTTTGAGTACCGCCCTGTCTCAATAATAATATCATGTGCTCGTGTTTGGCAACAACGGATATAATCCGCCTTATCGGTTCATCGCATCGGAAACAAAAAAGCGAAAGAATTTGGAACGATGTTTTTACAATTATTTTATTCAGTTCAGTTATACATACAGTCAGTGTCAGTCGGTTACGCGGGGAATAGTGTCTGATGCGTGGCTCAAACGAAATAAAAAATGGCACATGTTTATGCGGATCGGTTTCCCAATCGAGTGCAACCAATCCCTCGTGCCTTTGTTAATGTAGTACAACGGGCTCGTGAATCAGGTGACTTAAAACCTCACAGGGGACCTCACGATCAAATACAGGTCCGTACTGAAATACTTGTCGGGAGGATACTTTATAAAACAAGGTAAACATTTTTTTAATTTTTTTTTTATTTTTACACACATATTTTGGTTTATCTTCCTTCTACAATCATTATCTGAAAATTAATGACTCAACTTCAAAGTCACCCTGTATAGTTGGGCACAAAAATTAATTGTGGCAAATTTTTAGGCTTAAGTTGACTCTTTTGACGATAAAATCAAGCTTTCGGCATTCTCTATGGAGCCTTTGTCAGGATTCTGAAAACACAATTGTGATGCTAGCAAAGAATACAGGACAGATTTAAATTGTCGAACAACTTACTCGTCGTTGAGGTTGCAGCCACAAGCTGTTTCAAAAAGAACGTAGAGAAGATAGAACTTGTAATAAGTATAAAAACAAAAGGGCGGAGACATTGGGCTTGTTGATAACGACAGATACCTTCGTTAAAAATATCAATACACCCGATAATATAATATCTATGTGAAGTTATAGATGGTAGAAGTAATTTTCTGGTTGGTATTCGGTCAAACCATCGGTCATTTTTTGTCAAAAGCCGAATGCTTGGCCGAAGGTATTCTTTGAGCGAATGTGTCCGAAGCCGATGCTGAAGCTTGGTCAGACCATAGTGATTTGAGGCGCTGGATTCAAACATGGCTGACAAGTCTGCTAGTCGACTATCATTGAAGAGGACCATGCCATGCGTTATGGTTATTCAAAGGACATCGCTAGATGCCTGTCTAGTAATGTGTTTATGAAGTCATACACAAATTGAAAGTTTTAGGCCCGTATCGTCATTCGTTCCTACAATTGTAGGGCGCGTTTATGGCCTCCTTGTCATAATTTTCTACTTTTCCGTTTCAGCGCTCTATTTTGAGGTTATGTCACAAAAATTTGCATCAAATTGTGCATGCTTTTGATTTACGTCATGTTTTATCAGCCTGAAATTTCCTACAATTTAAAAAGAAAACATATCTTCACAATAGGAGAGCGCTGACGCTGACACAAAACAGGTGCAATCTAGAAATTTTTGAAGGAGAGAAAAGAGTATGACAATCAAGGAGGCCATAAACGCGCCCTACAATTGTAGGAACGACTGACGATATGGGCGTTAGTACTTGGGTACTAATCATGGGCGCCCTCTGGAGGAAAGGGTGCAGGAGACCTCTTTTACGAATCCCGTTTAACACAAAAATTTGTCTATTTAGCATGATTTTGTATATATTTTGGGGATTTTCAGGATTTGCAGACCCCTTAGAAAATTTGCGTCCCTCCGCTGTTTTTGGGGCATTTACACTGTTCACATACAGTTATTTGCTGCCGATGTTCGGCGCACATGGCACTAAATCCAACCTAATACAAGACAATAGTAATCTGTACTTACGGGTTCCATCAAATCTTGTGGCGATCGTATCCAGGAACGTGTTTTGGGGAGCCAAGAGGCCCCTTCGTGCTGGCATGGGGCCTGGAAATTTGGTAAGCACAGCTCTGAAATTAAATAGCATACATCATTAAGAGGAATAAAAAAAATCACATTCGGGATATATTGCCACGAATGGCCGTTCCTTGTCATAGTTGCAATGAGATAGTTCTCGCCTTTTCACGATTCATTAGCTCACATGCCCACCCGACTTACTTAACCTCAACCAGGGGGGTGAAAGTAACATACATGGCTTTGTACCCAGCTTTGAGTGACATCTGATGATGCACCGAACACTAATGGCAACTGACTGTTTCATTTGATAACGTTACCTATAGGTTATGATTTGTTCATTCTATAGTTGCTACTCGACAAAGAGAGTGAAAAGAACTGTCCATGACGCACTGTCAGCCAGAAGTAATTTGATTTAAATTTAAAACAGAACTCAGGCAATTCACAGAAGCAAAGCAAAGCTGGAGTGCCCGTACAGAGGTACCAATACAAAGCTCAGTATGGAGACGGCCACGGTGTCAGAGCCCTCTGGGAGCACAGGATATGCGTCTGACACGACAGACCAGAATCTCCAAACATCCTAGAAGATGCCTGTAGAGCCTTGAAAGGGGGGCATTCGGGGCTGCCGAAGGAATGCGTGCCTCAAGAACTCAACTAATAAAACTATACAAGATTCTGGGAGAGCTTACCAGCGAAATGGAAAACTGGAAAAATGATAGTAGGAAAAAGGGCCGATAGGCTATGTCCTCGTCTGCGTCGTCGTTGGACGCTAGGGAAGAGATGTTTGTCGAGACCTCTGTATGGATGTGGATCTATCACTACAGCCCCGCTCCGAGTCTATCGGTAAAATTTTTCATGCAATCCATCAACGCTGCTCACAACTCATTAACCATTATTGATATTGTCCGTAGATTGTAAAGTAGTCGGCCATTAATGGTATAGATCAAACGAGATTATATTTTATATAATACATACATGTATATACAATATATATTTGATAAAGTACATTTGTGTACAGATGAAATAGTCATTTTTATGAATATTTTATAATGCTTGTGGCAATAGCGAAAACTATGATGTAGAAAAGACGCATGGATTCAAAATTTTTAATGAGGCGAACACACATGACGCCATTTTTTAAATATTGACGTACGCCAACCAACAAAAGTGACGTAGAAATGACGTCATTATGACGGTCTAATGGCACACCCAACTCACGTCATTATATGACGTTATAGTATGTCGGATATCAGACCAAATAGAAAGTCGATATGATGTCTGTATGACGTCGATCCGAGGACGTCATGACGTCTATGTGACGTTGCTATGACGTTCGAAAAAATAATCGCGCGGTGTATCCAAATGCTCCTGAAAAATTAAGGATGTGACACACGACGCAGTGAGTTCACAAGTGGTAGAAAGGCGCCGAAACTCATATTCTACTTACCTACCACTCTTGAACCCTCTCGGTCCGAGACGTCGTTATACATCCGTAATTTTCCAGGAGCATTTGTATAAAGTGTATCGAAGTGGTTAATAAAGAATTAAAAAAACACCGTTTGATCTGTGGCACGTTCCAGTCCTCCGATGGTTCAGAATTTGTTTCTAGAAATTTAAAAACTCACTTTGCTTTTTCACAGGAGGCACTGCGGCTGCTATGAGGAGCTTGAAGAAACCTTGTTAATCAGATTTTTGTGTTGCCCAAGGTTAGTAGAACTGGGAAAAGCTACCTCAGGTAGATTGTTCCACAATCTGGATACCTTAGGGAGGCCGGAGTCTGCCGCGAGACGGCATCATGGGGGAGAGATCTGAAGAGCAAAGCATTGACTTACTAGTAGAAGAGAGCTAGATCGTCGATGGCTCGTCGGTGCGAAAGAGTCCCGAGGCTGTCATGTAAGAAGGGTCATGGATCAGTAGGGCGGCCCTCCCCTGAACAGTATTGAGCATGGATAATATAGTCGGAGTCGCAGCACCCCAAACATATGAGCAGTACACGAGTTTAGGTCTTGTATGAGGCCTGTAGGGAGTGGGAAAGTTATGTGGAAAAAAGTGCTTCATAGCCACAAACAAATAGCCTAGCTTTTTCAGAGCAGCTATTGACATACTTCTATATACTATTCCGAACGCGTTTATTTAAAAACAAAATACCAAAGTGAATATTGGAATACCATTTACAAAGTTGGACTAATTCCACCTCTATTGACTGTATAAAAATCGATTTAAACAGAGCGTAGAGCCGCTAATCTGTTGATGACTGTAACATGCATAAAGTTTAACAATTAATTAATAGAAGCTTCAATAGTGAGAGTAATTCGCATTCAGCGGCACCCATTAATGAGAATTTGCACTCGAGCTCGTTTGTTCCTCGCCTATCGATTTATGGTATATATAAAGAGAGTGTAAGAACCTCGCATTTTAGGAAATTTTTCTTCTGAAATCGCGTCTGTTGGATACACGGATCAAAGCTTCTCTGTCTTCGGCATAGTAGCAACCCTGTCTGAAAATTTCATCAAAATCCGATCGGTACTTCTCAAGCTACAGACGGACCAAAGATTAGCGGACAGACATACAAAAATAGACCGACCGGAATGAGTGACATGATTTTTCATGATGTACATCTCACATAACATCCAAAACACGCAATATCTCGTTTCCGAGATTTTTCGCGATTGCAATACGTCCTCGCCCAGTGGCGTAGGAGGTAAAACTCAAGGTGGAAAATTTCACTAACGAATACTAGTTTTTCGCCTCATCTATACCGATTTATCTGTAAAGAGGACAATATGGTCTACATTTACCTCCTCTCTCCGCATTTTCCCATAGTTTATTTTGGTGTTTTTATGATGTCGGTCCTGGAAATTCCGCCAATACGCATAACAATGCTTTAAGCTTCCAGATTATAGTGTAAGAAATTCATGCAGCTTGATGCAAAAGGCTTTTTCATGTCGCGAAAAAGCATTAGGACCGGCACAGATATTACGTATCTTGAAAAGTAACGTTATATCGATTTTTTTGAGATTATACTGGTTTTTTGACATTATTTAGGTTTTTCACAAGATGTTAACTTAGCACTAGCTGATCGGCACTTGTCTTGAACTGGTTTGTAGTTGTACGTGCTGCATAAACGTCATGATGTTTCAGTTATCAATGTTTGGCTTTGATGTGAGGTAAAATCTGCTTCAGAGATGACATTACTAGATCTAAGCTGAGGCATAGTTAGGGTTTGTGTGCTAATAATGTCTGTTGATGATAATTCCATCGGATTCTTGACTCAAATACACTTACTTGAAATTCAAGGCTAGAAGTTAGTTGTGCATCCACTTTTTTTATCTATCACTGTACACTGTCAAATTACAAGTCATATACATGCTAACAGTAATTACATTTTGCAATTTACATACAACGCGGGCGCGGTGGTGGTTCTTAGTAATTCTTCTCAAAGTTTCTGAAAAGAAAAGAAAACGGGAAAAAACGCTATGTAGAACTTTGAACACAACCTCTCTTCACAAAGAACAACACAAATAACCCGTCTGGCACAGCTAATAGATATCTTCATTGGCGGCATAGTCAGTAATAATTTTTTCATAGCAAAAGATTTTATACACATGCAGACCAATACAATCATGCGGATGCGGTCTTGCTACCCAACCAAACTTTCGTTCTTTCACATTTTAAACACTACAATTTATCTACAAAGTGGCTGTCTACAACCAACAATGCATAGTTGAAAAAAGACGAGGATGCCGTATTGTTCATTCATTACTCCATAGATGGACGCTTTGGATCGCGCTCACAACGATCCTAGTGAGCAAACATGGAATGACAGTTTGCACCCTAAAAACTATCTAGTCAGCAAGATGACATCTTATAGGCTTTTTTTGACGTTTTACAGGTTTTTTACATAATACCCGTGCGGCACTGGTATTACGTATCTTGAAAAGTGACATTATGCCGATTTTTTTTGACATTATATTGGTTTTTTGTGACATTATGTATGTTTTTTTGCAATGTGTTAACTTAGCACTAACTAATGAACACGTTACAGACTCATTTTGTAGTTGTACGTGTTGCCTAAACGTCACGAGGCTTCAGTTTTCAATGTTTGGCTCTGATGTCATGTAAAATCTGCTTCAGAAATGCCATTACTGAAGGTAAGGGCATTGCAAAGGTGCATAGTGAGGATTTGTGTGCCAGTAGTATGTGTTGATGATAATTCCATTGGATTCTTATCTCAAATACACTTACTTGATATTTAAAGCTAGAAATTACACGCGCATCTACTTTTTCTTATCCATTCTGGAAATTACTTATGCAAATTTGCTGAATTTCAAAAATGAGAGAAATAAGAAATAATTATATTCACTGTACACTGTCGAATTAAAAGTCATATCCTGCTAACAGTAATTACACACGGGCGGGTGATTTCCCGTAATTCTCTTGATAACACAAAAAAACGTGAGAGACCTTAATTTATTTCTTTGAAAGGACAACATATAAATACCCCGTCGCACACCGCTAATACATATACTTCATTGGCTGCATATTCAGTAATGAATATCTCATTCAGCAAATATCACTGATTCTATACACATGCGATCTTGCTATTCGCCCTACTGAGCCAGGGCCGTGGCAAATGCTTGTTCCGGAAGTTGTTGTATCCAGTATACAACTTCTTCCCGTCCAAGTGATTGTACACGCGTTAAGGAATACCTCAATACCGATTGCCGGGTGGTGGTACAAGTCCACCAACGGGCCACTTTATGTCTATTTAACATCACTAACACGTAAAAAGAAGGTGGTAGACAAGGACCAGTCGACCGAGGCAGTACCAGCCGCTAGCTTTTCCCAGGGTGTCTTATAAATGTCCGCATGTTTCCACACCTAAGCTATGCAGTCGGTTATCTACCAAAACAAAAAAATTAATGATGATGGATCCCTCGAGCACTAAGAACTTCGGACGTAAACTCACTCCACTCTCGGAATGTCCGGGTGGAGGGTGGGCTCGAGGGAACAACATCGAAGATAAAATTTGTTTTTCGAACATCTGCGGGATCAACAGCAACATTGATGCTGTTCATCACTACCTGCAATCCAATCGTCCCGCCGTGCTTTTCTTGGCGGAGACAAAAATCTCAGAGACTGCACCGATTAACCATCTCAACTTCCCAAACTACGAGGTGCACTCCAATCTGAGAAAGAACGGGGGAGTTGTGGCTTTTGTCCGCAGCAGTCTTTCCTGTTCCAGGGATCTTTCTTTGGAATCAGACTCAACTCACCCTCAACATCACCCAAATTTATTTGCTGCCTTTATCGCTCTCCCTCGAACGATAACTGGGATGACCTACTCGAATACCTCGCCGTCCAGATCGACTTCCTGAACATCAATCACCCCGCTTCAGAGGTAGTTCTTCTCGGTGATTTCAATGCTCATAATGAGCTTTGGTTGGGCTCAAACAAGACCGATGCACCGGGTCGTGCAGCTGAAGCGTTCGCTCTTACTCAAGTGCTAACCCAGCTGGTGACGAGCCCTACTTTTTTCCCCCGCGTCTCGTCACACGCCAGTGGCCTGCTGGATCTCTTTCTGACCACGCATCCTGCCCCTTACAGCACTGCTGTCCTGTCCCCCCTGGGTAACTCAGATCACGGTGTTGTGGAGGTTAGGTTTCGGTCAGAAGCCGCTGTGGCAGCAGAAACTCGCACAGGCCGCAAAACTTGGCATTACGGACATGCCGACTGGGAGGGGCTCAAAAACTTCTTCTCTAGCTTTCCTTGGAGAGATGTCTGTTTCACTGACGCGGATGCGTCGACTGTCTGTTCTTCAATAACCGAAATTATCCACGTCGGAATGGAGGAATACATCCCTCACACAGTGAAAGTTCCTAAACCAGGGTCCAACGGCTGGTTCAACAAATCGTGTGACACTGCTCGCCAGCAGAAGATCAAGGCCCACAGAACCTACTTACAAAACCCCACTGTAGAGAACAGACAAGCCGACGTCGAGTCCAGAAACAAATATAACGAAGCGGTTCGCAATGCCAAAAACCATCATGATATAAATGTTAGGCACAGGGTAATGTCGCAGCGCAATGGCAGTCGGTCTTTCAGGACGCTGGCCAAGCAGATTGAAAAGAACTTCTCACACAGTAGCCTTCCACCACTTACGTGTCAGGATGGAACTATTGTATTCGACTCAAAGGCCAAGGCGGAAGTGGTAGCCAAGATCTTTGCTGCCAACTCCACCATGGACGTCCCCACCAACGCCCAAGTGCCGTCAATTCAAAGGGTTTCCCACACTATGCGGGAGGTAACATTAAGGCAAGACCGTAAGACGAGTGCTCTTGTCGCTCGACATCAACAAAGCTTCTGGTCCGGACTTGATTCCTGCCGTTGTACTGAAGAGATGTGCAGCGGAGCTTGCTCCAGTTCTTTCGCGTCTCTTCCAGATATCTTATGAATCCGGCACCTTCCCAGAAAACTGGAAATTTGCTCATGTACAGCCCATCCCAAAAAAAGGATCTAAGACCGACCCTTACAACTACAGGCCTATAGCTCCGCTTTCTGTTATAAGTAAAGTGATGGAGAGGTGCATAAATCGCGAGCTTCTGGACTACCTCGAACGTCACAGCTTGATTAGCGATAGGTAGTACGGTTTCCGGCACCAACAATCCACAGGGGACCTCCTAGCTTACGTCACGCAACTGTGGAGTAAACTCATCCAGTCTCATGGTGAGGCTCATGTCGTTGCTCTTGACATCACGAAAGCGTTCGATCAGCTGTGGCACGCTGCCCTCTTAAGCAAACTTCCATCCTACGGCCTCCCAGAAAAGCTTTGCAGATGGGTGGCTGACTTTATCTCTGGCCGCAAGATATCCGTCGTAATTGACGGATTCTCCTCTTCATCCCACAACGTCAACGCGGGTGTTCCCCAGGGATCGGTGTTGGCTCCAACACTGTTTCTCTTACATATCAACGACCTCCTTTCCTGCACGATCAACCCAATCCACAGCTTCGCTGATGACAGCACTTTACATGCAGGAATTCAGAGTGACAAGCCGATCTCTGCCGCTGAGCTGGAAAAAAAGAAGACTAGCGACGACTTCTTCTCTGACAAGAGACCTGGAGGCTATCACTGCTTGGGGACGCAACAATCTTGTACAGTTCAATGCTTCCATAACACAGTACTGTACTTTGACGAACAAAAAGCGTCCTAGCGCTCATACAGTTTCGATGGACGGTCGAGTTCTACCAAAGAGCCATTCATTTCGGCTGGTCGGAGTCCAGATCACCGAGGACCTGATCTGGCACGAACACATCTCGTCGATAGCTGCAGCTGCTGGGAAAAAGCTAGGCTATTTGTTTAGGGCTAAGAAGTACTTTTCTCCGCATGACCTTCTCACTCTATACAAGGCCCAGATAAGGCCTAGCCTCGAGTATTGCTCACACATTTGGGGTGCTGCCGCCCCGACTACATTGTCCATGCTCGATGCTGTCCAGAGGAGGGCGGTCCGACTGATCGATGACTCTTCTCTAACAGACAGTCTCGGGACTCTTTCGCACCGGCGTGTCGTCGGCGATCTAGCTCTTTTCTATCGCTGCACCAACGCGCTTTGCTCCTCAGAGCTCTCTTCCATGATGCCGCCGCGCGATGTGCCTGCCAGGCAGACCCGCCTGACTTCGGCGTCCCATCCTAACCGTGTCAAGCTTCGTACATCCAGAACTGGCCGATACGACCGCTCCTTTGCCCCGAGGGTGTCTAGATTGTGGAAGCTTTTCCCAGTTCTACTAACCTTAGGCAGTTCAAAAATCGTATTAACAAAATTTCTTGGGGATCATCATAGCAGCCGCGGTGTTCCGGCATTTAGGCTTCTGCCTGCGCGGCTGTTTCGATATAAAAAAAAATTCAAGCAACTTTCTTCTCAGAGATGAAAACTATAGACTACTCGGCTTGACAAAACATATTCAACCAACATTGGGTGTAATTGAGATATTCCTCCGTAGATGGGCGCTCACAATGATCCTAGTGAGCAAACGTTTTTCTAGATAATATCCGTGCGGTACTCTTGTTTTTCAGCTTGAAAGACATAAGTTTTCAAAAAGTTATAGTGAAGTGTATGATGTTATATTGGTGAACTAGCTGAACAGGTCGCGTTCACTGAAACGAACTAGTTGATTTTTTGTAATGATGTATGTTTCAAATTCAAATACATGTAAACTGTCGCTACCATACTAGATGGTAGCTATGAGGTATACATATATAATTTTTTTAACAATCTCAAATAATGTGGGACACACTTTTATTTTTTGTTTTACACCAGATCAGAAGTTTTTTAATAAATAATATATAAATTTGATTATCGTTGCCAGATGTCGTCCCTCCGGGAGATCGTCCTCTTTTTTTTAGTATCGAAGTGGTTGCAGGCAAAAATCGAAAGTCTGTTACAGATTATTTGAGATGACCAAGAAACCTTTGTGTCCTATAGCAACATCTGCGCCACGCAACTGGATTTTTTGGAAGGCTGAACAAGTATTGTCAGAAAAAAAAATAGAATAAAGGTCAATAAAGTCCACCGCATAAACATAAAAAGGTCAGATAATATTTATGTCTTTCAGCCTCAGTAACTAACAGCATCTGTGAACATACACAAACTCATTTGATAGCCACCTAAACACGCGTCAAAATCTGTCATTTCAAGAATTGGGTCCCAGTTATTATATCAGACAGGAAGTTTCTGTCAGACTTTTTTACAATTAATGCTTTTATATCGATTTTGACTCGCAGTGGAGAAGCGAGGAAAAAACATCGATTAAAGCTGATATCTCACCTGTAGCTATTTTTTCTGTACGTCATTATCTCCTACTGGATCCATTATACCTATGAAAATATACGTTTTGTTAACACTGTAATAAAACTGGCGGAGAGAAAACATTACTTCACCATAAAACCTATTTTATTTCTACGTTATTGATATTTCGTTTTATGGTTTGTTAAGATTAACGTATTGTTTGCGAATGTATTACGATCTGGTAGAAGCTGATTCACTGGCTACCTAATAATAGGCTGTACGTTCGTTGTTAGGCCTGTGAAGTATTGAGAACAAACAGTACATAGTCACAATTTGAAATGCTGCTCTACATCTGGCGCAACATTAAACAAAATCGAGATTTAAAAAGCACTCCTATCGATCCCTTCAAGAGTGACAATGTATTTTTGGTTATTGGTCTCAAGTTGTTTACCTCTTGTATATGCTTTGTTTATTTTCAAGAGAAAACAGGTAAAAGACGAGGACACCGATCAGGCACTCGGCGTCGAGCGAAAAGGCGGTAAGCATGGTTCGACCAGTCGGAGCTTCGTAATTAATAAAATTCCTGATAATTCTACTAAATCATGCATTTTAACGGTTTATAACAGTAGCTGTTTTGTGTATTCGAAGTAGTGTATCTCCAAAGCCACGCACTTGTTAAGTTCAAATTACATGTCAATGGGCCAGAAGAAAAAAATTGAAGGATTTTTCTTGAATTGGCTGATATCCTACATGGAAGGCAATAGATTCAACGTGAAAATAAATAAATAGTTCAATATCCGATATATATCCTGTTGAACAAGGTGTTTCACAGGGATCTGTATTGGGGCGACTGTTATTTATCTTCTACCTAAGTCAGTAACCCATGTAGTAATAATTGTAGAAGTCACTACAATAACTATATCTGCTACAAGCATTGGTCACTTCCATGCCAAATTCTAGATGGATTATCTACCTCTCCTCCAATAGAGGGTAAGTTTGAGGTCGAATCTCTTCACTAGGCATCATGCTAGTGTTTCCATTTATAATTCCTATGACGGCCAGCAGTGTAACATGCTGTATGAAATTTTAAAGGTCATTTTATTTTCATTAGCAATCATTTAATACCTGTATATCGATAATATAAAATGAAAGACTTTATGAAAAAAAATATATAAACCTGGCCGCAATAGAAAAGTGAGGCTATTAACAATATTGCTCGCCTGCAATTTGCATGACAAAAGGGGACAAAGAAAGTATAATATCAGTATGTGTGTGTGAAGTTTTTTCTAACAGTTGAGGATGACCAATGTGACCATTAATAATTTTGTGAAAAATTATCAATTTTTCTGCAAACGCTATAATTGGTTAATCTGTAATTTATAACTTGGGGACCAGATGGAGCAACCATACTCAAATAACGAACGAATCAAAGAACAATATAAAATTAAAAAAAAAACGTGACAAATCGTCACAATGACGATTTATAAAACCTAAGGTCTCATATGTACAGTTGATTGTTTTTTCAATATGAAAGTTAAATGATAATTTATTAGTCAATAGAAACTCCCAATTCCTTGACCTGGCCTGTAGTCTGTAAAGATCTACCGTGAAATCAATTTTGAAAGATTTCGCATAATTTATAAGTAAAACCTTCATTCCACGCCAATGAGAAATATGATCCAAGTCTGTTTGCAGTAATTCAGCATCATGTTTCTTCCCAATAACTCTAAAAATCTTAACACGATCCACAAATAAAATAATTTCACCGTGTACTAAGCTCACAAGATCGTTAATAAGTATATTAAATAACATCAGACCCAAGTGAGAACTATATAAAAAAACAACGGAAGTTACACGAATACTACGAGATGTAAACCCACCATACTTACCATCTGAGATCAAATTAATTCGCCTCAGTGCAACAAGACAATTCTTTCGTGAAACTAAAGCAATGACGCATTATAGCCGCGGTTTTTGGAACGCTTTTGGTTACTAGGGTCCTGTTTCAACGTGGGATGAAAAGGTTTAGCACAAATTGAAAGCCGCTTAATCTAATTGGAGTGCGTGAATTTTTCCAATTTTCCGCCGGTACCTAGTTCCTCTAAAATTTCCCCGCTGCTATATTATTCTTGAATTCGGTAGATGGAATAGGTGTAGGTAGGAACACAAAATTGGATAGCATGAGCTTTGCAGGACAAATTATGAACAATGGTTTGACAAACTTTATTATCATCATAGGAATTTTTGAAGTGGTAATATTTTTTTAAACGACTCAATATAAACTTATTTTTCATAACAAGGCGTGACTTATCCTGTAACTGCAGACATGTTCATGTCATGACCTACTATATGGCAAACTTAGCCTTAGCAAAGCTCAACATTCTCAGCATTCAATTCCTTTTGTTGAGAGACTGGCCTGCATTCAGTGAATCTGGTGCCTTTTCCACAAACATCAACCTTTTTGGACCAGGTATATTTAAAGTTACTCAGAATTGAGCACTGCATCCGCAAAAGTATCAGTTCTTACTTAAAACGGGGAGAAAAATCACATAAAAAATGTTCAAAAATTTGTATTTCAAAGAAAAAGCATTCTCACATAACTTTGACACCTTGTAGTATAAAAGTTTTAAGGTAAGATCGCCATGTCAATAAGCAATTTAAATAAATCTACCAATCACAACTGGTTATGTTTGGTTTTGACTCTTTTATTTTTAGCGACACGATTTGTAACAGCTATCTAATGATGTCTCAAACTGGCCTTTCGTGACGTCACTGTGTTTGACAGTTAAGACTAGTACTAATCTTGCTCAGGGGGTGGTTTCTACGCGGTTCTTGTGTGTCAAACGCCAATCCACAAATATAACATGACTATTATTTGTATCCTTCTTGTGCGCCTGTGTTTGTTTTATGCCATTTGTGACCTTTCCGTAAAAAGCTATGTTTTTTACATCGAAGCAGCCGCGCAGGCAGAAGCACAATCTCGACCCCCTAGTGACAAAGGAGCAGTCGTATCAGTCAGTTTTGGATGTACAAAGTTTGACACAGTTAGGATGACAGGCGGAATGTGGGTTGGTCTGTCTGGCAGGCACATCGCGCGATAGCGTCATGGACGAAAGCTCTGAGGAGCAAAGCCCATTGGTGTAGCGGCAGAAGAGAGCAAGATCGGCGACTGTCCATCGGTGCGAAATGGTCCCGAGACCGTCCGTTAGAGAAGAGTCATTGATCAATCGGGGCGGTAGCACCCCAAACAAGTGAACAATACTCGAGGCTAGGTCTTACCTGGGCCTTGATAGAATGAGGAGGTCATGTGGAGAAAAGTACTTCTTAACCCTAAACAAATAGCCCAGCGTTTCCCATCAGCTGTCGCTATTATCTAGATGTGTTCGTGCCAGATCAAGTCTTCGGTGATCTGGATTCCGACCCGTCGAAATAAACGACTCTTTGGCAAAACTCGGACATCCATCGGAACCTGATGAACGCTTGGAGGCTTTTTGTTCGTCAAGGTACAGTACTGTGATTTGGAAGCATTAAATATACAAGATTGATAACCTCCAGGTCTCTCGTCAGAGAAAAAGTCGCGTCTAGTCTTCTTTTCTCCAGCTCATCAGCAGAGATCAGCTTGTCACTTTAAATTTCTGCATGTAGAGTGCTGTTATCAGGAAGTCTGTGGATTGCATTGATCGTACAGGAAAGTAGGTCGTTGATATGTAAGAGGAACAATGTCGGGGCCAAGACCGATACCTGGAACACCCGCATTGGCGTTGTTGGATGAAGAGAAGAACATGTCAATTACGACGGACATTTTACAGCCAGAGAGAAATTCAGCTACCTGCCGAGCTTCTCCGGGAGGTCATATGATGAAGGATTGCATAGGTGGGCAGCATGGCACAGTTGAACGAACGCTTCCCTAATATCAAGAGCAACGTCATTATCCTCACCATAAGACTGGATGAGTTTACTCGTAAACTTAGAGGTCCCCTGTGACTTGCTGGAGTCGGAAACCATACTGTCGCTAATCAAGCCGTGACCTTCGGGGTACTCCAGGAGCTCACGATTTAAGCACCATCAGTGAATATAAAAAACAATATCAGATGACACAGGGTGTAGAACTATTGAGTTTTTATGTAGTTTTTAGCAGAATAGAAAAGTAACGTTTTTAATATAATTTTTTAAGATGACACTAAAGTATTTACTTATTTTGACACAATAACAACCGTTAGCATTGGACCACAAAACAGTTGCGTGTATCAACCCTGTATTTAGATATATGTTCTGTGTAAGGAGGGCGAATGATACGAGGCAGATGAGGCTGCAATTCATAGCTCAATTCATGCAGTTTTACTATCGAGTCTAGACATGTGTGCACCCTTGCATTGCCTTGGTAGAAAAGGATCTTTTTCTTGGCCAAATGCGGTCCTTTTTATCTTCCAATCGTCGTTGAAACGGTTCAAGTTGGCATAATATTCGCCATTGATTGTTCTTCCTTTTTGGAAGTAATCATTGTGGATTAACCGGATTAAACACGGTCGTCACCACTGCATTGGCAGGAAAACCCACATTGGTTTTCTTCGGCACCGATTCGCCCGGAGAAACTCACTGTTTTGACTGCTGCTTGGTCTCGGGTGTGTTGTGGTAAATCTATGTTTCGTCTACTATTTTGAATCGACGCTAAAACTTAATATTTCGACTAAATACTAAAAACGCCTTCAAAGTTGTCACACGATTGCGTTTGTGGTCGATTATGTGCAACTGCATTACCCATCTTGCAGATAGCTTTCTCACAACCAAGTGATCATTCAAAATCGAAACCACTTTCAATCTTCGATCGACCAACCATATAGTTAATTGACATGAGTCAACCGACAGATGCTTATTCACAGGAGCAATGTTACCCTTCGAGTTAAGAGGCGGAAAGTTCAAAAATTCAGTAAGTGATTCATCACGGTTCCTCGCTTAAAATTGCTCGATGAGTCCAGAAATTTAATCGGCTAACGAAAACTCTTGTCAATTGTCATTGCCACTCTGTAGTTACTTTCATTCAATTGCAATTGTAGTGGATGATGATGATTATGACTTACCTAAATTAAATTAATTACATTGTGTAGTTATGCCTTTATTATAAATAGGATTGCTGCAAATATTTATCTTATAAATAAATGTCCCAGACATAGACTGTGCAAACTATACCAGAAAACAGTATTTACAAACTTCATTATACGGCAACATAGTCGACATGTTGAATTGTTAAAAATATATGCTCTTTATAAAAACAATATCTTTCAGGTGAGTAGCGATACTTCCATTTTCAACAAAACTGTCAATAATTACTGTCATATCAGTCTAGATATTGTATCAGGTTTTACGAGAAATAGATCATATTCATTAGATCAATTATTTCAAAAAACCCTTCAAGTTTTTAAGATTTTTTGCCACGCATAGTGAAATCAGGGCTCATTGAAACAAAATTCTGCAACTTAGTAGGTCATAATGTCAGATGCATGATTATCCTTCATTCTCTGGTCATTCTGCATACTACTTGTATCTCGTATCCAATATACTACCAATCA